CCTTCAAGCTTACAGGCTTGTTAGTGACTTCTTCCCCATAGATCCAGCAGGTCAGCTGGTGGTGGCACCTTCACATGGTTCATACCCAAGCCAGGGTGCAACCAGGGTGCTTTTCCTGGGAAAGCAAAAGGTCAGGCTGAGACCTTCCTTCCCTCAACTTTCCTTCCCCCCACCCCACTGCTCCCCTGGGACTACTTCTCCACTGCAGCTGCCCGTGAGTCCCTCCACTGGGGACACCTCCACAGACCAAACTGGCTTGTCCTGCTGTCCCCCCAGTTTTAGGGGGGCTGTATAGCAGGGGGACAGCAGAGCCAGCAGGCGGGTGCAGCCTGGCTGGGCGCTCACCCCTGCCCTCAGCTCCGCAGGCAGTCGGTGAAGGAAGAGGAGGCAGCTGGGGGCAGCAAGCCTGGCCCAGAGACGGAGCAGAAGGAGGAGGAGGCCAAGCCTGCTTCCCCCTCCGCCGAGGAGAAATCCCAGCTGAGGGGTGACTGGCGGCTGTACCGTGGCCATCACCCCCTCTCCTTCCTGGGGCTCGAGGACCCCCTTTTCCTGCGGCACAACCTCTACCGCAGCCCTGCCTTCGAGCCCGAGTGCCCCCTCCCGCGGAAATCCGCCTTCGCTCCCTACAACAGGCGGGTGAGCGAGGGCTCCTACCGCTTCAGCCCCGAGGCCATGTACAGCCGGGCTTACTACACCAACCTCTACAGCCCTGCCTTCAAGAAAGACTGAGCCAGGGGGGAGGATGAGCATCCTGGCTCCCCTCTAATCCCCCACCAGCACGCTTTGCCCGGGCCCCCGCCAGCCGCCCACACCCACCCCTATACCAGGACAGGAGCTCAAATTAGTGGAGATGCCATGGATGTCTTCTTCTGGAGTGCATCGGGGACAGGATGGGGGAATAAAGGCAGCCAAAAGCTCTGTTGGTGGAAGGAGAAGGCAGGGGGACGTGGGACCAGAAGGGACCAGAGAGGTGAGAGAGCGGTGAGACCAGAAGAAAGGGACCAGCCACGCCTGGCATGGGGCCATCCTAGTCCCTGTTGAGCAGAGAGTGTGGACTTAGATGGGCTACACATTGAGAACAGTGCTGAGAGAGCAGGGAGGACAGCAAAGCCATCAAACACCACCATAGCAAGGCTGGTTCCCCATCCTTCCTCCCTTCACCCCCCTCACAGGGCCCATCCCTGGCCACAGATTGCTCCTCCATGGAGGAGCTGAAGGTCCCCACCAACCAGCAGGACTCATGAGTGGGAAAGCCACAGGCACTCACCCCCAGCTGAGGGTGGGACAGATGATGGGGTCAGGAAGAAGACTGGTGACAATGGGTGGAGCTCCTGGAGCCCCCCTCTCCTGCAGGACCACCTGGCTTCCCGCAACACCCTGTTGTATCCACTGCAATAATAAACCTTCCCAACCTGCCACTCGCCCCATCTGCTCGGCTACTTTATGAGCCACCAAAACAAGGGAGCAGAGTGGGACGAGACACCCAACCCAGGTCCAAGGGACCAGGTCCGGGAAACTCCTCCTTGGGTCACTGCCGCGGGGGCAGCGGGTGCTCATGCTCAGCAGAGTACGTGTCTCTTCCCATGCCCCGAGTACAAATTCACAGCCCCAAGGAGCTGGGGGCTTCCTGCCAAAGACAATTTATTGCATTTCCAGAACACAGCAGAGAAATCCGTGTCTGTACCGCACACACAAACCCTCTTCCAATACACTGCTTTCCCAGGCACACCAGGGGAAGGGTTTGGGGAGAGGCAGGGAAAAACCTCCCGGCAGCAGAAGGGTTCGGCGATGAGCCCGGCGACCCCTTTCCTCACCTCCCTTCCTCCCCGGGGACTGGCAGCCTTATGGAAGGAGCGGCCTGGGAAGGCGCACGGTGCGGTCTCCATCCTGGGAACGAGCCACGCGCCTGGTTTTTCCCAGGCAAGGCCCATACGGCGCTTGCACAAGGGAAACTGCTGCGATCGCTGAAAGGCTGTGGGAGAGAGGACCATGAGCAGGACAGTTCAAAAGCAAGGCGGGTGGGATGGGCAGTGTCAGCCTTCACCGAGGTCCTCTGGGGTCGGCCGGTGCCGCAGGCTCTGGGACGCTGACACAGTGATGCACACGTGGGAACTGCCAGTGGCTCCCTGGTGGAGAAACCCCCACCTTGCCAGCTTGTGTGTGCTCCAGGGTTACCAGAGAGGACCTTGATGAGCTTTAAAGAGGAATAAGGATCCCAGGGCAGGAGCGGGGAGACAGGGAGCTGGGTGGCCATGCAGAAGCGGCGTGTCCTCCCTGCAGCCCAGGCAGCTTCCACCGAAGGACCTGGGGATGATGCTGCCTGGAGCTGTGGCAAAACCACGTGGTGGTTTCCAGCGTTGGAAGATAGAAGGAGAAAGCAGGAGGCACCTAAAAGGCTGGTATGGAAAAGAGTAGAGACTCTGGCCCACCACGGAGCCGAAGGGAAGGCACTACAGTCCTTGGCTGCATGGGCCAAGGACACCCAGACCCTGACATTAGGTGGACAGCAAGCAGCAGGAACCCATCATACTTATGGAAACACACACACCATCTCCATGGGCATGCAGGGAGGAGGCTTGGTCCAGCCGGGCAGCACAGAGAGAAGCAATACCCATGCTGTAGCTCAGAGGGAGTCTGTTCGCTTACGGGCAAACACAGCTGACATGGTCTTGACGATGCCACGGATCCCCGTACCCTTCTTCAGTGCCAGTTTGGTGTCAGGGATACGCTCAGCCAGTCCATGGAAGACCATCAGGGCCCCGTGATAAGCCTCGGCTGCAGAGACCTCATAGAAACCACAGTCTAAAGAAAGGGCCAGGAGCCGACCTTCCTCGCTGGACACCACCCGTTGGTGGTGCAGGTCCCGTTTGTTGCCCACAATGACGATGGGCACCTTCTCCTGGCTCTGCCCCTCCTTGGCTGCCTTGATGAACTGGATTTTGAGGGGCAGGATGTTGAAGCTGGCACGGTCGCAGATGCTGTAGACCAGGACAAAGCTGTCTGCCCACTGGATTCGCTTCTCCTCTGAGGAGCCCTCGTCTGCCTGCTCCTGGGGAAAGAGAAAAGGAAGGGTTTTTTTAACCCGGCTCCCTCCCTCCACACCTGCCTGCTAGCACAGTGTGCAGCAATCCTGAGCCCATCAGGACTATCACCCAGCTGCCAAGCACTGCAGGCTGTAGGTGACAACAGCGTGGGGAGCTCAGAGCGGCACTTCCACTTCATTAGCACAGTCCTGTGCTCAATCTGGGCTCTGATGTCCTCAGCCCAGGACTACGGTGGCTATTGCTACCCTGCCAGCAACACTGCTGCCCTGTCCTCTACAGGCAAGAAGGGTTCAGTCACCCACAAACTATCTGATGCAGGAGCTTTGTTCAGCTGGACCTCCCAGCCTGTGGTTCCCCCCAGGTGACTTTTAGTAGAGGGTTTTTTGTCCCTGGGGTGAAAACAGGTGAGTGGGTGGAGCACTCTCACCTGGGAATTGGGGACATCCCAGATGTGGAAGAGAATCTCTCGGCCATCCACAGTCAGGTTGTGGCTATAGATGAATTCTGCCAAAAAAATAAATCATCATCTTCATGGACCCAAGCAATAGCTCCCTCAACCCAGGTCTTCTCCTTCTGGAGACAAGCCTGTCACGTCCACCCCAGGGAGACCATGCTCCACAGGGCAAGGACCAGAGGCTTTTTTAGTACAGCAACACACACGTGGAGCATGGTGGTCTTCACAGCTGTGATCGCCCCAGCCTGCCTCCACCCCAGCATTCAGTCCAGGCACACTGGTGCCACCAGCTGCCACCCAGGACCTTTTGCATTCATAGAAGTAGTTCTGGAGCAAAGAGATGGGTCATTGAACAAACACAACCATCGAGACCCCCCAGGAGCAGGCAAAGGATCTAGAGAAAGGCAGGAGAGGATGGGAAACAATGAAATCCCACAGGCAGAAGCAGGCTCGCCTCCCGACCCCAGTCCCTAACGGCAACTGGCCTGGCCCTGGCCTGGCACTCACCCATGTCTCCGTACTCCCCAATAAAGCGCCGGGTGAGGAAACGCACAGTCAGAGCTGCAGAGGGAAGAATGAGAATCATCAAAATAACCCTAAACCTGAAGGATTTTCCTTTATTTAAAAAGTGAGAAGAGTCAGGCACCATCCCCCTGTAAACTCCCACTAGGAGGAACAACCTCCCATTTTCCCCCAGCCCTCGGCAGGTCTGTGAGCAAAGCAGAGGCACAGCACAAAATGGAGCACCAGCAAGCCACAGCTCCAGCAGAAAATACCTTCCCCTGTTGCTCGCCCACTGCCTGCAAGGTTGTGCTCAGCTTCCCCAGCTCAAATCATCACCACACCTGAAAGCTCAGTCCCATCTCAACAGCTTGCTCCACCAGGTTCCTCTTTGCAGCTTGTTCTCCAAATGCTGCTGCACTTTTCAGCCTTTTTTGGGGGCAAGAAATGTATCTCCTGCCTGGGAACTCCCTGCTCCTAGCTCACGGTTGGTTCTTACCTGACTTCCCCACGTTGTCTGCTCCCATAATGAGGACATTTGCTTCCATCTTCAGGGCAGTGGGACCAGGCATCTCCATGAGGGCAGGGTGGTCAGGGGTGAAGCTGGCGCTCCGGCGCAGCGGGAGCCGGAGCCCCATGCCGAGCGCGGCTGTGCCTCGTCGGCCGGCCCAGAGGCGTGCTGGCCTCCTCTCCGC